TCTCTCTGTCTCTGTCAATAGAGCTCTGCAATCCATACTCCACTCTTAGTATTTCATTTTCCGTCCCTTATTCCCCGAACTCCATACTCCACTAACACCCTACACTCCTTACCCCCACACTCTGTATTCCATCCTCCACGATTATTGCTCCACGCTTCACTTCCTGTTCTCCATACTCTGTACTCCATTCTTGATGCCCTGTTCCCCACCCTCATTCTCCGTTATCGATGCCCCACACCCTCCTCCGTCTTCACGCCCCTCTGGGCCCGTCTCTGTCCCCTCTCTCCTGGAAGGCTCTTCCGTTCCTTCCTTTCCTGACTCCAGCGCCTCCCCGGACTCCCACCCAGCCGCCCGTGGTCTGGACCTCTGGCTTCCCTGTGGCCCAACCCCAGCCCATCTTTGCCTTCCCTCCACTGCTGAGCTTAGCTCTCCCTGCTCCTCCAAAAGCCTCCGTCCGAGGGAGAGCGGTTCAGGGCCTCTCACCTGCATCAGGAGTCCCCGTAATGGGATGAGAGCCCCTGAGAAAGGGACCCCACCGAGCCCCCTCTCCCCCCCACAAGAGAGGGCTCAGCTAAAAGGTGCCATCTGTGAACTGGAAAGGGGACCCTGACCAGTCTCCCTACACCAGCCTTGGACTCGTGGCCTCCAGTTTTGTGAGAAATAAATCCCGTCTGTTTAGGCTGCCCTCTGTGTGACCTTCAGCTGCAGCAGCCCCGAACTGAGACCACCCTCTTCCCTAAGCTGCCTCCACCCCTCGCCTGGGCGGTCCGAGCCCCGGAGCACACCCTTCTGAGGCCGGGGCTGCCGACCCTGTCCCTTCATGGTTCCCCTTGGGCTGGGAGGACCAGTAGGCACCCCCGCTCACCCGAGCCCTGCACGCGTCCCGCCAAGGGCGTGCTGGGCGGCAGCCCTGTCTCCTCCCTCTGAGCAGGGCTTCTCCACTGGCCAGCTGCTCGCTGGACATCGGGACACTGAGGCCCCGGGGTCAGCCGGGCCCTGTCATTCATGCCCCAGGCCAGAGTGGAGGACAGAGCCCCAGTCCCGGGCAGGCTCTGGGCGGGGTGGCAAGGGGGCGGTGGGCCCCTACTTCTACCCCTCGGTTCAGGGATCGGTGCATTTCCTGACGAAGGCCTTTGATACTCACCAAGGAGCCCCTCTAGCTGGGCCGTGGGCAGAACATTCAACTCCTGTCCAGCAGGTGCTGCGTCCGCATCAGGGCATGCAGGCCCGTCTCCCACTCCAGGCCATGCTGCTCCCCGCTGGGGCTTCCACGCCGCCCTGGACGCGGCCACGGAAACCCCTGGTGGAGGCTGTGCTGTCTGCAGAGCTAAGCCCGCCAGACCCCGTGAGACCGACTTCACAGGGGAAGTGACGTGCGTTCTGAAGGGTCCAAACGTGTCCCCGACGGCAGGACCCCTAGAAGCCGCTCCGGGGTCAGACCTTGAGTTCCACAGGGCGCGTGTTGTCCCCTCCTGCTTGTCCTTCCCGGCGTGATCGCTCACAGGCGGTGAGTGATCAGTCACAACGTCACTGCTCTTGTTGGTCATTTAGTTGCTCACTCCTGTCTGGCTCTGTGACCCCATGGACTGTACCTGCCGGGCTCCTGTGCCCATGGGATTCTCCAGGCAAGAATGCTGGATTGGGTTGCCATTTCCTTCCCCAGGGGATCTTGCCGACCCAGGGATCGAACCCACGTCTCATTCTGTCTCCAGCATTGGCAGGCGGTTCTTTATCTCTAGCGTCACCTGAGATTCATGCCCCGTGCCCCTCCCCTTGGTAGCCTCAGGTCTGTTCCCTGTGTCTGCGTTTCTGACTCTGTTTCACGGAGAGGTTCTTTTCCGCCATATTTTGGGTTCCACATACAGGTAATGTCCCTGCTTGTCTTTGTCTGACTTACTTCGCTTAGTCTGATCATCTCTAGGTCCAGCCACGTTGTTGCAAATGGCGTTGCTTTTTTCCTTTTTATGGCTGAGTAATATTCCCTTGTATCAATACACCGCATCTTCTTTACCCAGTCTTCCGTTGATTGACACTTAGGTGGCTTCCGTGTTTTGGCTGTTGTAAATAGTGCTGCTCTTGGGGTGCTTTTCGAACTAGAGTTTTCTCTGGATACACGCCCAGGAGTGGGATTGCTGGATCACGTGGTGACTCTACTGTTAGTTTTCTAAGGAGCTTTCACACTGTTCTCCACAGTGGCTGCATCAACTTACACTCCAATGTGCAGCTCCTTTTTTAAAAGCAAATTTCTTAAACCTTTGCCTGAGATGGACACGCCCACAGCGCTGTGTGTGTCCGTTTACTTTCGGCTGGGCGGGGTCTCACTGCCGCACGCGGGCTGGGTAGTTGCCACCTGCTGGCTCGGGGGCGCTTGGGCATCAGGAGGGGTGCCACAGAGGCCCCTGAGTTTGGGCTCAGGCCCTGGGACGTGCCGGCTTCCGTCGCCGTGGGGCACAGGCCCAGTTGCCCTGGCGTGTGGGGTCTTCCTGGACCGGAGATCGAACCACATCCCCTGCTTTCGTAGGTGGTTTCTTTTCCACTCTCCCACCAGGGAAGCCCCAAAGGGCAGTTTCATAACAACTCAAATATATATCCACCACATATATGCCCTAACCACTCCCCTCCCATATACACACCCCAACCGCTCCACTGACCATACACACGCCCCAACCGCTCCCCCTCCCATATACACACCCCAACCGCTCCACCAACCATATATACACCCCAACCACTCCCCACCTCAGTATTTATCCAAAAGGAAAAAAGCATGTCCACACGAAGACTTGTAAGCAGATGTTCATGATACCTTTATTTGGAAAAGTCCCAAACTGGAAACAAATGTCCATGAGCAGAAAAACAGACAAAAGCAAACAGGGGTGACTCTGTGTGGCAGATTCCACCAGGCGGTGAGAAGGGGTGAATTAAGGAAGGCGGTAGCAGCAGTAGCAAAGTCGCTCAGCCGTGTCCGACTCTTCGCAGCCCCACAGACTACACAATCCACAGAACTCTCCAGGCCAAAATAGCGGAGTGGGCAGCCTTTCCCTTCTCCAGGGGATCCTCCCAACCTAGGGATGGAACCCAGGCCTCCCGCATCGCAGGCAGATTCTTTACCAGCTGAGCCACCAGGGCAGCCCAGGGTGGCGGGACAGTGCGGAATGCAAGAAGCCAAGGAAACAGGAGGACTCCCTGGCTGGTTCCAAGGATAGAAAGCTCTGGAAGACGCGACAGTGAGTGTTTGTGGTGGGGCAGGCGGGGGAGGGGCATGAGGACACCTTGGGAGCCTTGGGTGTGTGTGCCACCCAGCTGGGGCTGCGGTTTACACAACATGCGTGTGGGTGAGTTTGACACGTGTCAAAATCCATCAGGCTGTGAGTTGCAAATGTCCACAGGTTGCCTGTATCTCAGTGGAGCTGCTCTCGAAAGGGATGGACAAGAAAGAGGCTGAAGGTATGACGGCCCGACTGCAGAGCCCAGCCATGGCCCTGAAGCTGCATTTGCATTTGTTTTCAGACCCAGAACCTGCTCTTTGGAGAGGGGAAGGTCCCGCACATCATGGTAAGTACTACTGTTGGGGTCCCTCGACTGTTTCCCCGAAGTAACCACAGCCATGCACTCAAGTAGCTGTGTGCTCAGGAAAGGGGACCCCACACTTGTGGGGGTGTTAAATACAGATCACCAGTGCCCTGATCTTGAAGAGCTTCCATGGGTCCCTGTTAACGAGGAGACCCACGGGGTCAAGAAATAAACAGTCAGGTCAACTCCCAGCTACACTGGTCTGCTGGGCTCACAGACCCACTCGGTGGTCCTTCTCACGGTCTCTGAATTCATCATTGACATTGAGACGCTTGACAGTTAGTAATCCCAACAACTGGACTATGAGGGCACTATGAAAAGTCCAGTGAGGAAGGTTAGGGATGGACTGTGTTTCCTTGGGCTCCAAAATCACTGTGGACAGTGAGAACTGTCATGAAATTAAAAGACAGTTGCTCCTTGGAAGAAAAGCTAAGAAAAAACTTAGAAAGCATATTAAAAAGCAGAGATATCATCTTGCCCACAAAGATCTATATAGTCAAAGTTATGGTTTCTCCAGTAGTCATGTATGAATGTGAAAGCTGGTCCATAAAGAAGGCCAAGCACAAAGAATCGATGCTTTGAATTATGATGCTGGAGAAGACTCTTGAGAGTCCCTTGGACTGCAAGGAGATTAAACCAGTCCATCCTAAAGGAAATCAGTCCTGAATATTCATTAGAAGGACTGATGCTGAAGCTTAAACTCCAATACTTGGGCCACGTGATGTGAAGAGCCAGTTCATAGGAAAAGACCCTGATGCTGGGAAAGATTGAAGGCAAAAGAAGGGGGTGTCGAGGATGTGATGGTTGGATGGCATCACCAACTCGATGGACATGAGTTTGAGCAAACTTCGGGAGACAGTGAAGGACAGGGAAGCCTGGCATGCTGCAGTCTATCCGGTCACAAAGAGTTGGGCAGGATTTAGAGACTGAACAGCAATAGCAACGATCCAGCCGTCCCGCTCCTGGGTAAATATCTGGACAAAACCATAATTCGGAAAAGTACATGCATCCCTGTGTTCATAGAAGCACTGTTTACAACAGTCAAGACCCGGAAACAACACAGATGTCCCCTGACAGATGAATGAATAAAGAAGATGTGATGTATGTAAATATATATCTATCATTCCACATTGGCTCAGAGGGCAAAGAATCTGCCTGTGACGCGGGAGAGCTGGGTTCAGTCCTGGGCCGGGAGGATCCCCTGGAGAAGAGAATGGCAACCCACACCAGTGTTCTTCCTGGAGAGTTCCATGGACAGGGGAGCCTGGCAGGCTGAGTCCACGTGGTCTCAAAGAGTCACACACACCTGAGTGATTCACACACACGCACACACGTGCCCACACACACACGCACACAGTAGAATCTTACTCAGCTGTGAAAAATAAAGCAATGGTATTTGTAGCAACATGGATGGGCCTTGGGGTTATCATACTAAGGAAGTAAGTCAGACAGAGAAAGACAAATCGTCTGTGATATCAGTTAGACTAGATATCTAGTCTAGCAGAATCTAGAAAATGATACAAACAGAAATAGACTCACAGACATAGAAACAAAAATTGTGGTTACCAAGGGGGAAAGGAGGCGAGCAGGATACACCAGGAGCTTGGGATCAGCAGACACACGCTCCCGTGTATAAACAGAAACGTCAGGCACCTACTGAACAGCACAGCGAACTGTATTCAATATCTCCTGATAACCTGGAGTGGAAAAGAAAACAAAAAGAATATATTCACCTAAATCGCTTTGCTGTACACCAGAAACGGACACAGCACCAAAAACCGATTTTTCGGAAACGGAAACCGCCAGCCTGCGTTGGACGTGCGCGTCCCGCCGGCACTCCCCCAACCCGCGCGCGTGGTCGTCACCCCCACTGCTGACGCTCAGGGTCTGTCCCTGTCGGTCCCTCCCTCCACTCTGGTAAGCTCTTGCACGTTGCAGGCTGGGTCATGCAGTGATGCCAGGCTTGCAGCAGGCTTGGAGGCCAGGAAAGGACCCCTGCTCCTCACAGGGAGGGCGGCCGCTCCCACGCAGGCTCAGAATGCCCGCCCGGCTCAGGCTTGAGCTCAGCCTCCAGAGGGCATCCATCCAGTCACAGCGGCTCCACCGTCGGGGCCCCAGGTTTTCCCGAGCAGGGCGGTGGGGGCAGCCCCGCACCCAAGGCTTGGACACCTGATGGTCACCCTGGAGCTCACCTCTCTCTGGGAGGCACAAGGGACTGACTTTCCTGATCAGGTCCCCGGCGCGCACGCGTTGCCCTCGAGTTTTCACGGTCCTTCCGTCGAGTAACTTAATCACAACCCCGAGCTCCGTTGTCCGCCTGCCGTCAGCCCCCTCCTCACCCCGTTTCAAATGCCAGAACCACCGCTCGAGTGATGAGACAGGGCTGAGATGGCATTGGTGGGAGGCCTCACTCACCTCCGTGCTCTGAGCAATATTTCTTCTCCAATTTCCTTCTCCATCATCCAAGGTGCCTTCTGCAAAGATACATGATTTTCATAGCATGAAAAAAAAAAAAAAAACCTCAGCCTCTTTATAAAACACAAGAAAAAGTAGACTTAGGAAGAAAAAATGAAGAGCTTGTGCAGCTGACAACACCGACGGCCTTCCAGGCCTGAGGGCCTCAGAAGTGACTGCGCCCATCACGGTGACGCGGATCAGCCCGCCCCGGCCTGCGGGGCCCGCAGCGCTCGGTCAGCCCTGCACCGAGTCATCGGTGAGGCCCCAGAGGGGGACGCCCTTCAGGGGGGCCAGCTGCCCTCTCCCAACAGCCCGTGTTCTTCCTCCAGCTCACCTAACCGCTCAGGTGCGTGTCCAGAGGGGCCTCCAGGTGGGACTCCGGGACCCAGGCTCCTCCTGCGGATCACTCGGCCCCCTTCCGTCGTCCCGAGGAAGAGAGGGTGGAAACCGGGCTGCCCGTGGGCTGTCCCCCGGGGTGTCCCTTGGCCACGTGCTGGGTCAGGTTCAGGGCTGAAGACTGGAGTGGGGAGCGGGCCGCCTGGGGAGGCCTGGCGCTCTGAGGGCGGGCGACGTCCAGCAGGGAGGACAGGAAGAGGGGCTGGCCAAGCGCAAGGGACACAACGCGTCTGGGGGGCGAGGATGGAGCCGGCAAGAAGGCTGAGGGGGATGGCAGGGAGGTGCCAGCGCCAGCGTTGGCCTCCAGGTCCCTGGAGACCTGGGGGCCACACCTAGAGGAGGATGAGGACAGGAGGACGGGTGGGGTGGGGAGGGGTGGGGTGGGGCAGAAAGCAGCAGTTTGAGGCTCAAATCCACTCAGAGGGATCCAGGTGCTCAGGGCATCAAGACCGCAGGATGTCCCGCCCCCACGCCCAGCCCCGGCCCCGGAGAAGACGTGGTGGCACTTCAGCCATGGGTGAGAGCTCTCCGCGTCTCCCACGGCCCTGGATGTGAGTGTCTGCACCCTGGAGGGGCCGGCAGGTTCCATCGGGCAGGAACCTGGGGGCCACATGGAGGGTGTGGATCTAGGAAGCCCAGACCAGAAGGGGAACAGAGGATGCTGACCCGGAGGGGGTTGGAGTCGCTGGAGAGAAAGATGATGGTGGCCTGAAGTAGGTGCTGGGCACCGGGCAAATCCAGCCGCTAGGCTGTGCTGGGGCGGCTGGCGTGATTTCCAAGCCGGGCAGCCAGGCTGGCCCACAGGCAGAACTTTGCCTCTTAGCCGGGCCCCGGGAGATCTCTGGGGAACATAGTCAGGAGCCCGCGCGGCGGTCCAGGCGCGAGAGGCAAGGAGGGAGAGAGCCTCCAAGGGGCCAAGACAGTGGATCGTGCAACGTGCAGGCGTGTCTGGGAGTGGGGGAAGGGGGCCAGAGGGCACAGGGGTCCGTGGGCAGGCCGTGGGCAGGGGCTTCCAGTGGAGAGGAGACACAGGTAGGAAATTATCAGAAGGGCGGGCTCGATAAGATCCAAGACCGATTCGACCTGAGCGCCAGGGAGAGGGCATGAAGGGGGACCCCAGATCCCAGCTGGGGTGACCGGATGGCGCTGCCCCAGGTGCGAGTGAGGACAGCGGTGGTTCTGGCTCCAAGGAATGTGGAGCAGACACGCAGTGAGTCTGCAGCTCAGGAGAGGCAGCCCGAGGGGTGGCTGTCTGCAGAAGGCGGGCACCCCAGCACTGCCCGGAGGATGCCCAGGACAGAAGTACCCCAGGGACGGAGCCAGGGAGGTTGGGCCTCTGCCCCGGGACCCCGACACCCTTCCATCCCCCATCCTCCCACCCACACCCTTCCCAGGCTGCCCCATCCATCCACAGAGCTTCCGTGGGAGCCCCTAACCCAGTGGGGGTCTGGTGGGGGCAAGGCACCCATCGACAGGTGGGGAAACTGAGGCTCAGGGGGTAGGGGCTCCCCCAGGGCTTGTGGGGGTTTGACTTGGCTACAGAGCTGGACGGCAGGCTTTGGACCCCTCACCCCGCCGACAGCTGCCCAGACCTCAGCGTGGCTTCTGTGTGCTGGTGACAGGAGCCGGGCCCAGTCAGCTGAGGCTGGCCTGGAGATGGAGCTCCCAGGGCGGCAGCCCCTCCTCTCCAGGCCCTAAATGCTTCCAGACCTAGGTCTGCGTGGCCTTATCTGTGCCTTTGATCCATCTCATTCATCCTGAGCCCGTCTCCCCTTCCTGTGTGCCCGCCCGGGGGGTGGTGCACGGGGGGCCTCAGGGTAGGCCAGTGAGGTGCTGAGCGGAGCGTGGAGCTGGTGAGGGCGTCCCCCTCTGTTCCTTGGGTGCGGCTGGAGGCAAGTCTGCCCCTCCAGGATGGAGCCCCATCCCCACAGCCACACCCGCCACAATCCAGGTGTTGAGTGTAGGTGGGGGTCCCAAGGTTCCGCTCCTGGAATTCAAGCTCCTCACAAGAGGAGTTTGTTTTGATCACTGCTCTAACTCAGCAACTGGAACAGTGTCTGGTGTCCACTGAGGCTGAGTACAGGGTGAGTGAGTGAGGGAACAAATGAATGAATGAGTGAGTGAATGAATGAGTGAATGAGTGAGTGAATTAATGAATGATGAGTCAATGAGTGAGTGAATGAGTTATCCAATGAATGAATGAGTGAATGACTGAGTGAATGAGTGAGCAAGCAAATGAATGAATGAGTTAATGAATGAGTGAGTGAATGATAAGTGAGTTAATGAAAGAGTGAGTGAATGAATGAGTGAGTGAGTGAATGAATGAGTAAAGGAATGTGTGACTGGAGGAATGAGTGACTGAGTGAATGAAAGAGTGAATGAATGAGTGAGTGAGCATGTTAATGAGTGAGCAAGCAAATGAATGAGTGACTCAGTGAGTGACTGAGGGAGTGACAGAGGAATGAATGAACTAGAGTGAGCCTGGGTCGAGCCTCCCTGCCTTGGCCTCCACCCTCCCTCCTGCTTCTACTGACCTGGCTGAAGAGAGTAGGGCGGGTCTGGCACACGCCTGTGCCCCGCGTCCTGGATGCCCTGGAGCTCCTGGGGTGCTGTCCTCACTTCCTCAGGGCCCCGTCTGGAGCTCCCGGATCTCCCCGCGCATTGCCACAGGCTTCCCAGCTGGATGCTCTGTGAGCCGGCCCTGGTCCATCCCCAGCCCTACTGGTCTCCAGGCCTCAGAGCCTCCGTCTGGGACAAGGAGGGCCCGCTGGAGGCTCAGGGGGCCTCACCCTCACCTTGTGGTCCAAGGGGTTGAGGACAGGTCTGGACACACGCGGAGCAGCGTGGGCCCCGCTGCCCCGTCTGGAAGGTGCCTGGCACAGCCCCGGCCACTTCCCGTCATGAGCACGCGTCCTTCCGGGCAGACCCCACCTGGGGGAAAGGGCAGGATGGAAGCTGGGAGCGGGGACCCTCCAGCCTCGAGCTCAGACCCGCTCTTCCAGGCCCTGCCGGCAGAGGTGCACACGGACCCAGGCAAAGGCGCTTCCCGGCTCGGCCTTGAGACGCTCACCACCCTGCTGGACTCTCCCTCCTAGAAGTGGCTGTTGGGCTCCACAGACCTGAGCCTTCTCTGCCTGTTCTGGAAGGTGCTGCCGGGGATCAGGGGCTCCTGGGGTGGGTGCAGAGGGCACCCCCGAGGGAGCCCCAGGCTCTTTGATGGCTGAGTGGGCTGGAGTCAGCTAGAGGCCCCAGGGCTCCTTGACTTCCATAAAGATCCAGAACCTTCTTTGTTTGGGACCTGGCGAGGCCCCCTGAGGTCAGACACTGCGTGGCCGGGCCCAGGTGCCTTTGGAGGGGGATGAAAGCAAAACAGCCTCCCTGTGCTCAGACTCCCCGTGAGGCTGGGGGCTGCCAGCCGCCACACCCAACAGGGAATGGCTGAAGTGGGATGGAGCCTTCCAGAAAGGAGCCGCCACGTCCTCTTTAGGCGCCAGGTTGCCCAGTTGGAGGGTCCCACCCTCGGCCCCAGACAGGCCGCTCCACCATCTCGCATACAAGGGGCTCCAGGTCCAGGGTCCTGTCCACCCACCATTGCCTCAGTGAGCGTGGAGGGTTCAGGCTGGGGCCTTCCTGTGGGGCTGTGTGCACCATGGGGAAGGGGGATCTATCTGGGGACCAGCCCACACGCCCCATGTGTGGCCCCAGGGGACGCAGCCAGCCTGGGGTCTGGTTCAGAGCAAACGCTGTGCTGACCCAGGTCTGGGGGGCTCAGGTGTGCTGGTGCGTGCTCTCTGCGTGCGTCTGTGTGTCTGAGTGTTTCCTTGGGAGCCCGGCATTGACTGTGTCTGCCCGCCAGCTCCACAGGGGCACACGGGGTGGCTGGCAATGTCTTGGGGCCCCCCGCCTGTCCCTCACTTCTGGCTCAGGTTTTTGTCCGTGAGGCCCATCAGCAAGGGCCACTCTGTGACCAGGAGCCCTGTCATCTCAGGTCCAGATGGAGACCCTGGTCCTGAGAACCCCGGACTGGCCACTGCCGGCACCACCCGCTTCCGCCTGGGGGACTTGATGGGGTTCTGGGTCCCAGGCGGCCACGGCCAGGCCGCCAGCCCACTGTGGGGCTTCGCTCTGTGGCCTGGCATCCTCTGTGTCCTTGGCCAGGGCCTAGGGTGGCCGCCTGCCTGGCTCCCCAAGGGAAGGTCCTGGGAAAGGGGTGACCTGGGGGGTCAAAGTGTCCAACCCCTTCCAGTAGGCCTCCCAAGTCCCACTGACGGGGCCCAGCTGGGCCCACCACCAACTTCAGGCTGGAAGCAAGAGCAGCCTCTGAGGGTGAGGACAGGAGAGAAGCTGGATGCTCTGGGCAGTGGGGGTCAACATGTGACAGGGAGAAGGTGAGTGGTGGGGGCGGGACTCCATCTCCCCTGGCCTCTGCCCTACGGCTGGAGTCTGAGCCTTTAGGGGGTGGCTCGGATACAGGAGACCCTTCTGGATGTAGGACCGATGACAGGAGGGGCAGGGAAGGCACCCTGGGCAGCAGATTTCAGCTCCATAGACAGAAGGGCTGGCCGAGAGCCATGGCCCCTCAACGCAGGAAAGTGCTGAAAGCAAAGGTAGTGAGCATCCCATGGCTGGGAGTGATCAAGCAGAGACCAGCTAGGAGAGCTGTGAAGGCACGCTCAGGGGGAGTGTCTCGGCCCTGAGCACCTGGGACCTGCATCACTGCCCTCAAATGGAGGGATCTTGAAATCAAGCCACAGCCGGCAGGTCGGAGGGTCCCACCGCAGCACGGGGCGACTTGTTGCTGGAAACGGGCGCTGAATTCAGAAGAGCATCCTGAGGGCAGATGCTGACTCGCACAGAGCCCGCGTGCCCCCGTGCTGGGCTGCCTTCCCGTCCGCTGGAAACGGGCGCTGAATTCAGAAGAGCATCCTGAGGGCAGATGCTGACTCGCACAGAGCCCGCGTGCCCCCGTGCTGGGCTGCCTTCCCGTCCGGATGCTCTGCGGGCACCTGCCACTCGTTTATTTGGGGGAGCACTTGAATTAGGACTAATTTCAGTCCAAGAAAGATGGAATCAGAATCCCTGACCTCTAGGGATAGGTACCCTCAGGCTGGGGTCTGCCAGGTGGTCAAAGCTGGCTGCCTGGGCACCTTCCTCCAGAGTGAGGCCACTGACGGTCACTCACATGTTCAAACATCACAGCCGCCCCCCCCCCACAGTGGGCTGAGCAGGGCCACAGAGCAGCATTCATGGCCCCCATGCTCAGGTCAGACGCCCCCATATCCCTGTCTCCAGGCAGATGTCACAGTTTCAGGGGCCTGCCAGCCTC